CTTAAGGGTGTTTGTATAGAAACTGTCCTAGAAAACTGAGTGTCTCCTTCTATAGCAAAGGATGCACATATTTACTGCCCATTAAAAAAGATTAGGATTCCCCATAAGCTCCAGATTCCTCTTATAATGCAACCCACTGTTTGCACATGTCACCTGGTTCTCTGCACAACTCCTTTGGAAATTGGAGCTCAGAAAACTAGGTAAGAAATGTTGATATTCTGGCTACAGCAATTAAGAGTAATAAAGTCATTCTCAGGAGTCCATAAAACTGTGGCAGGTTAACTTGTTATCTTAAAAACAGAGTAAAATCTAAGAGCCTTCACAGTTCTTGACAAGAAGCAATTTGCCTAAGGTCTAATAGCTAGTAGAAGGGCTATCCATGATTTAAATCCAAGCTGTCTGGCTCAGAAATCATGCTTTAAATTCCATACTATACTGGATAGTTCCAGAACTAGCAGCATCAATATCACCTGTGAACATGGTGCACATGTAAATTCTTGGACATTACCACACATAGTAAATCTGAAATTTGGGAGGTGGGGCAGGAAAGAAGGCAAACCTGGGTTTTAACCAGCTTTTCAGAAGATTCTGATGCACACTACATTTGAAGAACCATTGCTATACTCCATATATTCATTGTATCTATAAGGACGAAGGAAACATTGCATGGGTATATCCTATTTTACATAGAGATAAGAAACAACCTTTCACAACTTGAATAACAGATTTCAAGCATTAAGGGAAATGATTTGTAAGGCCTTTCATTTAATTTCAGGAAGGTAAAGATCTTTAGTGCAAATAAGCACCACATGTCTGTTTAATAGACCTGTGTAATATTTTCTGGAGTCATAAATGTCCAGAATGCTAAATGAAAATACCTGCTTCTTATTCCCATAATGATCAGAAAGAATTACATAGCCAAGAAACATTATTTATATTTTAGACTCAAGCTGTAATTCTTGAAAAACAGGAAACCACATATCAACACAGCCAATACAGTGTATCAGAGTAGACAGGGCACCAGGCTTTGAGTCACAGAGTCAAGTCATTTAACTTCTTCAACTCAATTTCCTGATTTTAAAATGGAAAATGTACTCCAACTTCAGAGTTGCAAACAGACTTAAATGATTTGTCATGTGAATGTCACTGGTAAACAGCTTTTGTGCTACTTGAATGTAAACACCTGAGTGGGCTCCTTCTGGTTTATCATGATATTATCAATTTCTTTAATGCTTAAAGTACTGTCTGGCACACAGAAGATGCTCAGTACTTGTGAGATATTAGGAATGAATATGAGCTATTATATTAATGATGTAATTGAGTCCTTTAGACCCTACTTGTCACAATAATCTCAGTCTCTCAATAGGAAAAAGTCACTCTAACAAGAAATCCTTAGTCATGTTTAAAATGGGCCAGATAATTTAAGAAAATCAGCTGATTTCCTTCCCCCGGAGAACACTACTGAAGGCGTTCTGTCCTAAGGCTTAAGACAGAAACTTCTATTAGCAATCTTGTTCGTCTTAGAGCCTCATGGTTTCAAGTCTACAATGATCTTTTGTGCATATATAAACAATCAGGAATAAAGGATGTATAACCTACAAAAAGCTATGTATGTCACACTTTTGTACCATTGCAGAATTTTAATCAGTGGAATTAGGTTTATGTAATTTAATAAAATATGAGATTCAACTCAGCAAATATTAAATAAATTACTAAATTGCTACTATACAAAAAGAAGAATGAGGCTGCAAGAAAATCATTACCATTAAAATATACTTTGGGAACAGAAACCATTGTTTAATTTATGAAGAAAGTATAATTAATTTGTTTTATAGAACTAAATATTTATATATTTATGGGAAGCACACACTTCCTTCATTTGTACCTTCTCCAATATACTTTTCTCATTCTCCTGAAAATTTAATTAATGGTATAGAGTCTTGAGACAGGGGACACTTTGGGTTTTTACCTTCAACAGACATAACTAAGATAGCAAAGCAATTCTAGTTGAAGGACAGTGTAGGACTTTAGTACTAAGGAGCATATCCAAGTCATATTGCCATACTTTAACATATATACAGGGTATATTATTCCCTATATATATCATATTCTGATGCAAATATTTATATATGAATCAGCTTTAATTTTTTGAAAAGTGCAAGTATAAATCTCAAGATTTGGAATTTTTTTAAAGATTTATTTATGCATATGGAGTGCAGGCCAGAGGTGTGGGGGGGAAGGTGAGAGAATTCACCAGAGGCAGAGTGGGGAGCAGAACAGGCAGACTGACTGAAATACACTGCTGAGGGGAGCATGGGAAGAGACAAGAGAGGTTGGCTGTGCCATGTGGGTCACCTTCCTGTCCGAGGATCAAACTCGTGCTGCAGTGGCTGCAGATAGCTTCATAGAGCTGAGATGTAACCCTTTGTGCCACCAGGGAGGCCCAAGACTTGGGATTTTTAAGTCAAGTAATTTCATAAGGGATAATGCCAATTTGTGTGATGAAAGAATATAAATTACAGAGGTGAGCAATTGTCAACCAATCTTTTCAACTCCCAATGCAATATATAACTTTAACAATCATATGGCTATAGTGATTACAAAATAAAAATCCAGTTCATATATACATATATTAATCAACAGCACTCTTCTAAATGTAATCCAAAAATCAGTAAGTCTTAGCCAATAAAAAGTAACTTTTAGTTTAACTAACTCCTTACAAAATTCAGTTATACCATAGAGTAAACAGGAGAGACAGCCAATTTTGATGTAGTCCAACCACTTATTGTCTTATAACCACAGAGTGAAACAATGCTTTCTGCTGGCAAAAAAAAATATATACATGCATATTATGTATCTTGTAGGAGAAAGCAACATTTAAAATCATCTGGATCTTATTCTTGCCATCTCTGGATCTTTTATTCTCCATCTCTGGATGATCTTTATATTCTAATTTAACAACTATGATTCTCAGTTGTATTTTTACAAAGTTGAAGAATTAAGCCAATATGAAGGTACCATAGAAATTCAATTGCTGTAGAAAATGAGTAAGACATTAATTCTCATATAAACCCATTCACTTTCTTCCTGCAAATGGAAAGTAGTGAGTTCACTGTAATATACCTGCAAGCCCAAACACAAGACCCATCATTCTTGAGAAGTTATGTTTGGAGAAAAGGGAAGGGGTTCTGGAGTCCCCAATATCTAAACTCATTTTTCCCCCCAAAGCCTTGAGTCCCAATCTTCAATATCTCTTTGTCACAAAGTGACCAAATTAGTCCCCAATCCTTTCCTTGGTTCCTCTCTCTTAAAGAAGCTGAATTCAAATTAATTTTCCTGGTTTTAAGTACCACTTGTCCTCTTGCTCTCCTGGTTTCCATTCTCTTGGGCTGTACCATTTAGTTCTCACTATTTCTTTTCTGCATATTTATAATACGATGCTTCCCAATACTGGCTAAAAACAACGCCTTTAAATTCAAGCAGGGGAACCATGTAGAATTTTCAACTCTCCTGTGATTTTATTTCCAGAATATCCACTCAAGGAATCCTTTCCACTAAAGATGAAAGGCAAGCTAAGGAAATACATTAGACAGAGGAAGTAAACATTGAAACAGGGCCATGCCTGGGTATTCTAAAGCCTCTGGGCAGAACTGGACTCCTGACTCCCGAGTCTAAAGATCTTTTCTTTTTCTTGCCTTCTATCCTCACTCTGAGTCTTTTCATCGCGCAGCTGCTGGATTGGTTTCCCACCTCCGCCTACCTTCTACGAATTCAGCATGACCTTGTTCTGATATATCCTGCACAAACAGAACCCCCCACACTGTCAGGCTGCTCCCGAATCTGGTGTCTCCTTGCCTCTATTACTAACCTCCGTACCGCGCAACTAACTGTCCGAGGGAACACCAGGTCTTCGCCTTAAGGTGTGGTTTCGCCGTGAAGGTTTTAATGTCTGGTTTATCTAGAACCCAGAGCCCCCCCCCACACACACACAGCCGCCCGCACCCAACGTGCACCAACGGGATTAAAATGAGCCTATCCCACTCCTAAAACAAAACTAAACAAAACATAACAAACACTGTCCGCAGGCCTTTCTTTACAACCCCCATCCCCAGCAGAGACTGGCTCCCGGAAAATACGGACACGTCTCCACCTCCAACGCCAAGGGTCTTTCAGGGACAATTTGCATAACAATTCGGAGTGTGTGCATGCGTGCGTGTGTTCAGAAACTCCCAGAAGCCAAACCTAGTAGGAAAGTATCACGACACTCGCAGCTCCATTACTCCATTACACTTAAGTAAAAGAACGAGTCATGCCTTCAATTCGTGGGCCCCGCGGCTCGCGGCCGTCACACAGGATCAGACACCCGGGGAAAACCTTGGCATCAAGAGAAATTAACTACTCCCATGTTCTGCGACGCCATCTCCCTCTGCCCCGAGAGCAAGTCTCAGTAGGTGCTTCCCACTTCCCCCTCCCCGTCCAGCGCTGCGGACCCCGACACGCGCCTCCCTCTTCTTAATTAGACGGGACGGGAGCAACGACTCTCCCCGCTAGCACCAGGGGTCGACGCCAGGGAAGGGGAACTCGGGCCGCGGAGATCAGAGCTCCGCTCACTCCCCGAGAAACTTCTGGGACTCTTCTGTTACGCAACCCAAGGATCAGGCTCTACCAACCAACATCTTTCCGCAAGACGCGGGGCGCGCAGACAGCGGTCCGATGTGGGGAGGGCTGGGAGGAAGACGGGTCTCTTTCCGTGCTCGCCTCGCCCGTATTTCTAGACAACCTGCCCGGGATTTGCAAGCAAGAGCAGCAGTACGAGCTCCGCGTCTCCTCCGCCCGTTCTCCCCGAAGGTTCCCACCGGAAAAGTAGGAACGCCAGGGGCTTGAGTCAGCGTGCTGGGAAGCTGGCGGGAGGCAGGGAATGCCCGGCCTTCCCAGAAGTCAGCGGCAGCGGCGCACGGGCCAGGCTGACCCCTAGCCCGGGGGCACAGGGCTCGGCTCACCTTCCAACGCCGGGGTCCTCCAGCCCGTGCCGGGCGCCCTCACCGCCTCCGCGCGCCCCTGACCTGTTGCGGTGGGGAAGGGGCGCGGGTGCGAGGGCACAGGGGAGCGCCTCTTCCCGGAGTCAGCGGCGCCTCAAGCCGGGCTCGGCTCCAGGGCGGCGGAGGTGAGCGTGCAGCTGTGCCCGCTACGCGCGCGAGCGGCGTCCGAGCGTCCGACTGCGCAGGGGCCGCGCGCCGCTCAGCTCGCTGACTCGCAGGCTCCGGGCGCCCGCAGCCCCTGCACGCCCGGAAGGCGAGGCCACGCCCGTCTCCTGAGGCCCCGCCTCCAGCCCCGCCCCCAGCCCCGCCCAGTCCGCCGCCCGAGCCCTGGTACCCAGCTCCGCCCGCCCGCGCTCTCTAGCTGGCGCCACCCAAATGGCGAGGGACGTCACTGCCCTCCCCGGGACACTGGTGGGAGGATAGAGGGGGAGCAGCAACCCTGAATGGACCGCCTCGGCAGCGTGGGTCACCCTCAGTGGGCCTGAATCAGGACGCGAGGACGCTTTCCCGTTACAACCAGATTAAGGTCAAGTTCTGATTAAAAGTGTCAAGGAGTCTTTTTGCAGCCTCTGTTCAATTGGAACAGATTCTGGGCGCTCCAAAGGGGATAATAACTAACATCTGGGCGGCGTTTTACTGTTCATTAAGGACTTTGTACACTCAGGCCTGTCTCTTCTTCACAACCACCTTCTAAAATATTGCTGTTGCCATTTTCCAAATAAAGAAAGAATTGAAAATAAGTATTGTGCCCAATATCACGAGCTAACAAAGTGGCATGGCAAACCAACTCTCCTGAATCCGTCTTCCAGGTTCTTGCTCGTCAAAGTACAACCCCAGAAAATTCTAATGAATTAGGGTGTTCACAAAGGAAGAGGAGAAAGCCACTGCCAGTTAAATTGCTACCGCGGTCCTATGTGCACATATCAAGAAAAGCATCAAGCAGTCTTTGCATCCTCTCACATTCCTCTCTGAAAAACATGTAGAGAGCTTGTATCAAATGCCTAATTAGGTTTTTTTTCTAATATCGTAATGATTTTAAAGGGTGAAATTTTTTTTTTAAAGATCCGTTTTTACTTATTTATGCATACAAGAGCTGGGGTGTAGGCCAGGGTTGGGGAGTATGTGTGATAGAATTCACCAGAGACAGAGTGGGGAGCAGAACAGGCAGATTGACTGCTGAGGGGAGCATCAGGGAAGACAAGAGAGATCTGCTGTCATAGTGCTGAGACTTAACCACTTGTGCCACCAGGGAGGCCCCAAAAGGGTGAAATTGTTTGAAGAAAATCACCTTTATCAATGTAAACGTAAATTAATATAATGTATGAAGATACTCCCTCCATGTCCTCTGTTCTGTCCTCCTTTTTTTAATATCCCTTGTTTTGCCCCCCTAACTCCTTTATTATCCAGAGGAACAGTGTTTGATTGAAAACTTAATCGAGGGCCTCCCGGGTGGCGCAGAGGGTTGAACGCCCGCACTGTGAAGCTGTCCGCAGCCTCTGCAGTGCAGGCTCTATGCCGGCCAGTCAGCGAGAATCCCACATGGCACAACAGACATCTGTCTCCCCCGCTGCTCCCCTCAGCAGTGTATTTCTGTCGTCTACCTGTTCTGTTCCCTGCTCTGCCTCTGGTGAATCCTCTCACCCTCCCAGCCCTCTGGTCTGTACCCCAGCTCTTGCATTAAAAAAAAAAAAAAAACTTTTTTTAAAAAAAGGAAAACTTAATCGATAGATATTTGCATTTCCAAATTAAACTTTTGTCTACTTGACTTAATTTATCATGGATTGTTTTCCACAATATAACTTTTCTCCCTATTGCCAATGCCCTCACTGTGATAAGAATTGATTTACCTTAGCCCAAATAATTAAGATGTCCCTGCTGAAATCTGGTGTGCCTCAATATGAAAGTTTTGGAGGTCATCTCACTGCAGGATAAGATGGAGGAGTCACTGCTGACAGATGGGTGGGCGTCTGTACACTTCTTAAGGTTTCTAATAGAGATTAATACCTATTTCCTTTTTGTAATTTAACCATTCCTATTAAAACATTTTCCTTGTGTTCCTTTTGTGTCATCATCTGATTATACCTCCTAATACCATCAAACTATATTCAACTTAATAAATGATGTTGATGTGGATGTTTGATAATCTCATTTTCCTGGTTTTGAAGTCAAAGGGTATAATTTTGCAAAATTTGTTTATGGGCATTGATGTGACTTCTGTTCATTTATATGAATAGTCTTAAGACAACATGCTAGGGGATGGATCGATGACAAAGACAAAGTTCTTTTCATGAGCATCCAGTGCCTAACAAAAATAAACCAGTAAAAAACAATTCCCAAAGCACACTTCCATTGATTAATTTACAGAAAAGTGGTAGGTTAGGGCCTCCCTGGTGGCACAAGGGGTTAAGTCCCAGCACTGTGAAGCTATCTGCAGCCACTACAGCTCAGAGTTCCATCCCAGGCCAGGGAGCTAACCCACATGGTGTAGCAGACCTCTCCTGTCTCGCCCGCTGCTCCCCTCAGCAGTGTATTTCGGTCACTCTGTCTGTTCTGTTCCCCACTCTGTCTCTGGTGAATCCTCTCACCCACTCTCCTCCCACCTCTGCCCTTTACCATAGCTCTTGTATGCATAAATAAATAAATCTTTAAAATAAAGAAATGACTGAATAAATTTTCTCATAATAAAAAGCTGAGTAAGAACATATAGTTTATGTGATTTAATTTATCTAATATAAAAAATTGTAGACATGAACTAGGTAGCATTCCTAGGCAAGCAAAGTTTACTATATAAATATCCATGGAATCAAAATAATGGTAGATATTTGGTGATAAATAATAAGTGATAAATATTTAAAATGATTCATTACATAGTCAGTATTACAATTCTAGAAATATAAAAAAGAGTTCTGTATTTTCTTGCAAGCATTAATTTTAATCCCTTTAATTTTTGTTTATACCTGTATACACATAATGTTAACAGAATTGTTATAGCAAGGGGATGTAATTTTGTGTTTTGACCTGGAAAAGTGCACCTTTTTTACAGATTAAGAAATTCTTTGAAAGATTTTAATGTGTATTAATTTAATTTGATATTTTAAAATAGTAAAAATAATTAGGAAGAATCATTCTTTAAAATGCCCTCAAATATTTTTAAAGATAAAAAATGGAGATATAAAATAATAAAGAATAAATAAATTAGCCTAAAAAAAATAATAAAATAAAAAATAAAAAGCTGAGTAGTCATTCCAATAAGTTAAGTTATATTTCTGCTTTGTCTTCAGGCCCCATTATATACATGGTTAAAAAGCAGCATTTTATTTTATTTTATTTTATTTTTCATTTGTAAAGTCAATGAGTTTTTTTTTATAAGTTTTATTTTTATATTCCCCATACAATTGCAATCCCCTTATTTTGACCCCAATCCCTCCCCTCCCCGCCCCCCATCCCCCATAGAGTGTCTCTGGTTCATAGATTTTTGTTGATTTTGATTCTTATAGTTATTCATTTTCCTGGTCCCCTATTAAAGTTTTCTAGATTCCTGCTATGAGTGAGACCATCCGGTATTTTTCTTCTTCTTTCTGGTTTATTTTGCTGAGCATGATCCCTTCCAGCGCCATCCATGTTGCTGCAAATTGCATGTGTTTATCTTTTTTGAATGCTGAGTAATATTCCATGGTATATATGTACCACATCTTCTTGATCCAGTCATCTATTTTTGGGCATTTGGGTTGTTTCCAAAGCTTAGCTATTGTAAACTGTGCAAAAAGCAGCATTTTATTATTTTTATTGAAGTAACAAGGCTTTCGTGAGTATGTATAATTTAGGGATATGAGTTCAAACCTCTTCAGATGTATGTTACAACACCACATTCACCACAAAAATTCCCATAATCTTCCACTATAGTTCATTGGGTCCTCTATTTCCTGCTTCCGTCTCCCCCAGCCTCTCTGGTAGCTTCAGTTCTACAGTTAGATTTCTAGGATTTGTTTTTGTTCAGTTTTTCTGATCCCTTGTTTTGTTTCTCTGTATTCTATGTATTGATGGAATCGTCTGGTATTAGACTTTCTCCTAACTTATTTTGCATAATATAAACCCCTCCAGTTCAATCCATGTTGTTGTAAATGACAAAAGTTCATCTTTTTAAATAGTTGTGTAGTATTCTTTTATGTATATATACCACTTTGCCTTAATCCACTCATCTGTTGTTGGGCTCTTAGGTTGTTTCCATAACTTGGCTATTGTAAATAGTGCTGCAATATATCCCTTTGAATTAATATATTCATATATCCCTTTGAATACATATCCCTTTGAATTAATGTTTTTGCATAGTGCATATACCCCACCAAATTAGTGTTTTTGTATTCTTTGGAAAAGGACCAGCAAAGAGGAATTTCTGGATCATGCAGCAGATCTATTTTTTTAAATTTTGAAAAACCTCCATATTGTTTTCCATAGGGACTGAACCATTATACATTTCCACCAACAGTGTAAGAGGTTTCTTTTTCTTTGCATCCTCACCAGCACTTGTTATGATGGTTTTTTTTTTTTTTTGAGGTGGGCCATTCTCATATGAGTGAGGTGGTATCTGTGTGTGGTTTCGATTTGCATTCCCCTAATGACAAGTAATGAGGAACATTTTTTTTTTTCATGTGCCTGTTGGCCAACTCTATATCTTCTTTGGAAAACCAGTGTTTATTTAGCTCTTCTGATTTTTTTTTTTTTTCATCGAAACACTTCCCCAGGATTTTCCCTCTTGTGTGTTTTCATCTTGCTTCTTCAAGGTTCATGATGCCAGCACATGGTTGTCAGCACAATTAAACCAAATAGACAGGATGGGAGCAAGTTATTCTGCCAATTTTCTAGATCTTTGAGTTGGACATTAAATCTGGGGCTGATCACTCCAAACTTATTTAACTTGCCTGTGAAATTCAGAACAATTTTCCCAGCTCTATGATCATCAATGATTTCAAATTCACCAATGTAATCATGCTTTATCATCACCAGATAATGACTTTGGAGAACAACCTAATAAGAACTTGGCATTGATGCTCTTCAGAACATCAGTGAGGACGTTCCTTCATATTGTTACGGCAGTACAGAAAGA